TTTTTGGAGAACGGACGAAAATCGGTGCGCGCGCAGGATGTCATCCATAAAATTAAAAAAGTGTGGCCTTATAATAACTGTAGTCAGCACTTGCTTTACATCAGCTAGTTGGCCCTTTTTATTGTAGTGTGTTTATATGATGAAGTTACTGTATGATGGTGGTATCTGTTATTTATAGCAACATATATGAATAGAGTTGTGAAATGCTTCATTGACAAAAAGAATGGATGGCATTTATGCTGGTGTAGCAGTCATCTTTTTTTAAGGCTTGGCATGATTGTGAACTGAAATTTTGTTTTGTCTTATATATCTGGTTTTATCTGTTTTTATTTTTTTTTCCTGGACACTAACATATTCAGGCATATCTGCACAGCTTTTGTTTTTGTTTCTAATTTTTTTATGTTGAAGTCATTTATAGGTTTATAATTGAAAGTCGTGTGCTACCAATTTGTGTCATATGTATTATTTTTATTTTTGTAGCAATTTAAAGATTCATGACATATTTTGCAACGTTAGCATATGCTAGTAAAATTAAAGCATGGCCAGTTTAACTTTGTAAATTTGTTCTGTTACATGCCCACAGTTTATGTTTTCGGAAAGCGGTCTGGTTCACACGCACACTTACAAAAAATCTAAAAATTAAAAATTGGTCTTAACTTTTTGACCAAACATTTAAGTCCAGTAGGCAGAACATGAAAGTTACAGATGAAATCATACATTTTCTGTTTTGGCAGCTGGAGACAATGGCTGCATAGCCTATGTTCTGAAGTCTGGGTTCAACACCTCCCAGGGCAAGCTACTGAAGACTATTCTTTATGGAGTAAAGAGGGTCACTGCCAACAACCTAGAAACATTCCTCTTCATTTTGTTCCTCCTGATATTTGCCATTGCTGCCTCAAGTTATGTATGGGTAAAGGGTAAGTCATTTAAGATTGATGCCACCTTTATTTTAAATTTCTATGTTAATTTATATGAAAAATAGACTTATGACCAATATTTTGATTGTTAAAGTTCTTATTCCAATACTTTAAAACTTATGCTCACACAAAGCACGAGGGATAAAAATTTCCACCTTTTGGATAACTTACCTTTTTACATGCAAAAGGCAAATTGAGTATGTTGGTGGATTTTGTGTAATTCATCAGCTTTTCCTCCTTGTATGGCATTCTCTTTCCACATCTCCAATAATATCTAGATGAATTGTGCTACCTAGGATCAGATATGTAGCCATCAGTGTTTTTTTTTAAAGCCCTTTCTCTTTTAGGAAAATAATCAGTAATGAATTATTCAAATGTGTGAAGTATTTTTTATTATTAGTTGTGAGCATCACTGAACAATAAGGACAAATAAGCCATTTTCAATTTCTTTTTTTTTTCAGGATCAGAGAACCCAGCAAGAAACAAATACAAGCTGTTTTTAGAATGTACATTGATTCTGACATCAGTGGTGCCTCCAGAGTTACCCATAGAGTTGTCCCTGGCTGTGAACAGCTCTCTGCTGGCATTGACTAAACTATGTAAGTATGGTGGCAGTTATTTTTAAATAGGAAGCATTTCATAATCTTTAATTAAAAAAGCTTTGTTTCTAGACAAATAGTGTATTTTATGTCTCCTCTAGATTACCACAAATATTCATAGTCCCTCTCATACCAAGAAAACAGGCAACAAAAATATTGGTTGGTTGAGATTTAGAAATTCCACTAATGAATTAGTGTATTAATACATTGAAGTGGGCAGTAATGAATGATTCATTTATACAGATTATTGAGAGCCAAATTACATTGCATCATGTCACTTTTTGCTTCTTTTCAGATGTTTTCTGTACAGAGCCGTTCAGAATCCCATTTGCTGGTAAGGTGGACATTTGTTGCTTTGACAAGACGGGGACCTTGACCAGTGATGACCTGGTGGTGGAGGGAGTGGCTGGACTACAGTGAGTGGTGGCACACACACACCTTGGGCTATTGATGAATTGTTTCATTCTTCATATTTTTGTTTGTTTTAATTTTTTTATTTTTTTGTGCATCATAATTTGTTTTCTTTTATGGAGAACACTTTCTTATTTAAGTGTTATTAGGCAAACATGATATCAGTGAAATCAAAAACATTACTGAAGTCATTTGGTATCCTCCACAGTTTTTAATTTTTTACCATAGTACTGTAAGATTTGATGTGATGGTGCAAAAGGTCTGAATTGACAATTTTGTATTGTATTGTCTGGCAAAATAATTTAATAACATATTCTTTGCTTTTTGAAGTCAAAAGGTCTTACCCCATTTGCAGATATGCCTGTAAAACATCTCGTTTAGAGGGTGTTCACCATACAGCATCTTGCTGTCTCCATATTTTCATATAAATTTATAATATTCCAAGCATATTTCATTTCAAAAAGCATCTTGTAGATTAGGTACTAATGTTATATCAATATGATATGAATCATAGTCAACATTATTTTATTAGAACCCAAGAGGAGCTGATCCCAGCCACTGAGGCTCCCATAGAAACAATATGGGTAATGGCCACATGTCATGCCCTTGTGCAGTTGGATGATGATTTAGTTGGGGATCCCATGGAGAAGGCCACACTCAAGGCAGTGGACTGGCATCTTACTAAAGGTACAAGGGTTTTTCATGGATTTGACAGTTTGAATATTGTTTTTACCACTTTTTTATGTTGATATATCTAGTTTCTAACACTAAAGTTGGGCATTCCAAGTCCTCCAAAATACAAGCTAACTACATATGGTTGACTTGATATGGGTAGAATGTAAAAAGTAAAGAATGCAAGAATTTTTTTTTTTTTTTTTTTTTTTTGCTTATTGCAGTTGGTCAACATTGCAGATTTCAAAAACTGCAGAACAAGCTTGCTTCAGCATTTCTAAAAAGCTAAATGCTGTTATCAACCACAATTGTGTTTTGGCTCTTAGTAATTGTTTCTGCGAACCAAGCGGTGGACTAAGTGATATTTTATCTATTTTGCAGGGGAAGCAGTGGTACCACAAAAGATGAAAACCCATGGCCTGAAGATTTTCCATCGCTACCACTTCTCCAGTGCCTTGAAGAGAATGTCTGTGATAGCTGGTCACACACCATCTGGGTCTACAGAGACTGACTACATTGCCACTGTGAAGGGAGCACCTGAGACTCTGAGATCCATGGTGAGCGTTACTGAATGGCAAAGTTTATTTTATTGTATTTTTACAGCTAATATGAAAAAGTAAATCACAGTTTTTTTTGGGGGGTTTTCTCCTGAAGTGCTAGCAACCTCAGCAACATCACAAAACTGGATCATCATATCTGACTGAAAGCCTAGCGACATAAAGACCTGCATATTGTATAGCTTTGGGTAAAGTGATAACTGTCCACTGTAGGTCTGACAACAAAATAGAAGGCAGTTTATATTATAACGATGCTCTCCATGTCACGCCTTAACATAAGTTGAACATATTCCCTATAAGATGTAACACAGTGGCATGGATATAGTTTTCATATCTAAACCCTACCAAATTTTATAGATATATCTGGCTTATATACCTAAATGAGGTATTAATAATTTTTTTCTGTATATTTTTTAGTTTTCTACTGTTCCTGATGATTACAATGAGGTGTACCTTGCCATGGCCAGGAGGGGAGCCAGAGTACTGGCACTGGGCTGGAAAAAACTGGGACATCTTTCTCACCAACAGGTGCTGATACGATCCTCTTTCAATATTTTAAATGCTGATATGTTTTCTTTTGAAAAACAAAGAATTCTAAGTTCTGTATTATTTTATTGCAGCTTAATTTTGCTAAGAAGATGGCAGAAGTTTGCTGAATACATTAGTAGTAAAAGAAAACAGCATCTTTATGCACATAAAAAGCCCCGTGTTGACAAAAAACAAATTAAGATAATGAAAACCTCCTCTATGCAAGTAATACATTAGTAATTTTATCATCAGATTCATTCGAAACAATTTAATAAGTCCTGCTGGAACAACAATTGATTTAAAACAAAAGGCCTAAAAATTCATTGGAAAAAAGTGTAAATAACTTTTTCATATGGAACATATTTTTTTTTTTTTTTTTTTCAAATTAATTTATTTATTTGTAAATTAACATATTCCATTCCAGGTGCGTGACATGAGCAGGGAGAGTGTAGACTGTGACCTGAACTTTGCTGGCTTTGTCATCATCTCGTGTCCATTTAAGACCGACTCTAAGTCAGTGGTCAAAGAGATCCAGCAGTCTTCTCATCATGTAAGTATAGTTACTTAGATGTCGATCTAGACTGGCTTCTCATTGTTACTTTTTAATGTCCAGTAAAATCTTTAAATGCATCACATAAGTCCATTACTGTAACATGCGCACTATATAAACGAGCTGACTGATGCAGCTTAGAGTTAAAGAAGTTGGAGAGATATGACAGTATATTAATATTAAGAACATAACAGTAAAACTGTGTCAAGTCTTAGGTCAGAGAGTTCAAAACATGAAATTGCAAGATTGTGTTTTGGTTAAAAAAAAAGCTAAAAATGCCATGTCCTTTTTCTAGCCGATACATAGTTAGGATTTGAAATTCTTAAAATTAGAGAAGTTCAGGCATATTTTATTTGAAGTTTTCACTTCTGTAATATATTGATTTCATTTCTTGATAAGGAACAGTGCAAAATATCAGGTAACAAAGTTTTTTATGACTATTGTTTGATTCAGCCTGATGTTCCAAGTATTTTCTTTCTAGGTGACAATGATCACAGGTGACAACCCGCTCACAGCCTGCCACGTGGCTAAAGAACTGCGCTTCACGAGGAAAAATGCCACTGTGATTTCAACTGCACCAAATGATAAAGGTAGGCAGTCTTCAAGTAAATGCAGAAAATTTTATTCTGTATAGCTAAACCCATTTAGCAAAGGATTCAGGTGAGACAATATTATTATATTCAACAGTGCCTAGAACCTAACAAAATTGTCATCAGTGAGGCACAGAGTGTAACAGAATTGTTAAATCCAGCCAAAACTAGAGATAAACAAAAGCATTATATTTTGTAAGACCCAGAACAAATTTTTTATATATTCAGTAAGGTTTTTGGATCCACAAACATTTAGGCCCACTTGAAAGCAACAGTAGATTTTATCACATTCTGGGAGAAATTATTGTGAAAGTTTCAATACAGCTCTCTTCCAGCAAAGAAAACTCCTAGTTTGACCTATTAAACATAAAAATTTCCTTTGTCACTGTAGATTAGAAATTCACATTTTTTGTGCCCATTTCAGATTCATCTTGGCACTGGCAGTCTATTGATGACACCATACTGTTACCTATAGTGCAGAACAGCTCCTTTAAAACCTTCACTGAGAAATATGACATGTGCCTGACAGGAGAGGTCAGTTATGATAACTGTTGTCATATCATGGGTGCACAACTGTATATCTATTAAAAATTTAAAAATACTGGTGAATGATATACTTATTGTGTTCTGAATGCATTGATATCATTTGTACTGAATTAAAGGTTTAAAAATACCTTAAAAATTGTTGTAATTTAAAGTAAATCAACTACTTCTATGTAGGGTACGGCATTTAAGCATGTAACAAAGTATGTATTTGTTGATAGAGTGCCAGTTTTGTTTTGCCTTTTTCTGCTATATAATTTGTTTGCTCTTTACTTAGGCACTAAATTATTTACAAACCATGGATCTTAACTTCTTGAAGAAGATTTTGCCCAAAGTCAAGGTTTTTGCTAGAGTGGCACCTAAACAAAAGGTATGGAGATTCAGTCAAACTGTTTTCAATTTGATTCTTTCAATTTTGTATTTCTATGTTTCAAATCTAACCATAGAGCAAATATCATCAGTTGCCCTGAAAAAGCAATGCATGAATAGTGCTTTTTCTAATTACAGTACCCCATCATATTAATCTAATATAAAAGCTGAATTTAGTTCGTAATACATGGTTTAATTAGATATTCTTTATCAGAAGTAATCTTTGTAATGTGTGATTTCTATTAATCTTACCCTTTTTTGAAAGTAATTGTGACATCTTTGATATTTTTTATGGTATAGTGCATGGTGAATTACAATTAAGTTTGATGAACTTAATTATGAGGTTTGGTTTTCCATGTATCAGTTATCTTAAAAACAAGATTTTTCCTAGGTGTTTATTATGTACAATAAATTATAGAATGGCTGAAGACATATTCATGCACATTTTAAATGGTGTTCTCCAGGAATTTGTAGTCACCAGTTTGAAGGACCTTGGGTACGTAACACTGATGTGTGGGGATGGAACCAATGACGTGGGGGCTCTGAAACATGCCCACGTGGGTGAGTAAATTCTGAACCAACTGGGGACAGCTTTACAAAAGAACACCATTGAAAGTGTTTCTTTACACCAGCAAAAGCCTCAATATGATCCCTTTGGTTTCTGAATGTTATTGGGCTTTCAGTTGGTGTATGATATAGAAACAAAGTTTTGAAATGAGACTTACTCCTGTGTAGCACTTGTAAGGGGGGTAATAGATTCAAAGACTGATATTTGTAAATGTCATCTTTAGGTTAGCATTGCATAAAGAAAAGGAATCCTTTGTCAGAGGAAAGATAACTTTGTATACATTATGAAAAAGCAGAAAGACAATGTTATACACAAACATACTGATCTTACTTCTTTTTATAATTATGATATAACAAGGATGTTTTCAAACATTATGTTTTGAAATTTTTCATTAGTCTGAAATGTACAATTTACAGGAGTGGCATTGTTGTCAAATGCACCTGAAAGACTTCCAGAGAAGAAAAAGAAGAAGGAAGAGGTTGGTTAATTCAATTTTTTTTTGTTTTTACATGATAAATGGACAAAACTCTGTTTGTGGTATCAGTTAAATCCCAAAGAATACATCATTATGTACATAAAGGGAACCCTTGCTATAGTGTGTAGCTGTGTTAGGTAAATTATTTCACTCATTTCATAACAGATGTTAAAAAGAAGCATAAATTTTAATATTAATGATTTTGGAGCTTTTAACTTGGATGAAATTTAAGTAGTCTGCTTAAATATGGGCACTGGAATTTATCTTTTTGTTTCATAGTCTGCCAGACAGGCAGATGGAGATGCCAATGATAAGGTGTCGCCCCCTGCTGCCCTGAAAGGAAAACCAATGGGTAGAGCCGCCAAGAACAGAGCCATTGCCAGAGGGGACAATCTGGCCCCAGCACAGGTATATGTCATATATGCATGCATATTTGGGCATATATGTTCCACTGTGGCTTTGCAAAGATATCTCTGTGTCATAAATAAATATCCTAAAGCTATTGAGTGTTGTTTTTTATAGTAGCTTTTTGTAAAAATATGATCAAACTTGATATAAGAATTTTGTTGCCATTGCTGTCTTTTGATTAACAAAGCAAATTAAAAATTCCGAGTCTTTGCTGATGAAGATTATTTGGAATGTTACGCTTACAGAAAAAGATACAGCAGTTGATGAGAGAAATGGAGGAAGAGGAAAAAGCCCAGGTTGTAAGGCTGGGCGATGCCAGTATAGCTTCACCATTCACTTCAAAGCTGGCAACCACTATGTGTGGTAAGTAAACATGCAATACCATAATATTGTTATCCATTATTACATATTTAACGACAGGACATGCAGGCCCTTATAAAAGCATTGTATATTTTAAGACACATTCTCTGTATAAAGGGATGTTTACTGTTGAAGAATAGTTTGAATTGAGTTCTTACCATTTCAGTGCAGTAGACCTACTTTTCACCTGTCAAATAGTTGAGCTTGCAGGAGCAGGGTTAGTGGTAGAAAAATGCCTTACCTATTCTTATGGGGTTTAGCTATTTAGCTAGAAGAAAATCCCTTCAAGAATGGGTTCAGTAAAATCATGTAAAATGTATCAGCCAGAAAATCGAATGGCAGATGTTCACAATCTATTTCTTTGTATTTCAGTACTCAAGATAAAACATTGATCATTCTTTATTCAGTGCTTCATTCTACCAAACATTCAAGCATTGTCTTCTCTGTGTTTCTGTCTGCCATATTATGTAGCATTGTTTTTTCTGTGTTTCAGTCTGCCATATTATGTAGCATTGTTTTCTCTGTGTTTCAGTCTGCCATATTATGTAGCATTGTTTTTGTCTGTGTTTCTGTCTGCCATATTATGTAGCATTGTTTTCTCTGTGTTTCAGTCTGCCATATTATGTAGCATTGTTTTCTCTGTGTTTCAGTCTGCCATATTATGTAGCATTGTTTTCTCTGTGTTTCAATCTGCCATATAATCAGGTATCATTTTCTCTGTGTTTCAGTCTGCCATATAATCAAGCAAGGTCGTTGCACCCTGGTGACCACACTGCAGATGTTCAAGATCCTTGCCTTGAATGCCTTGGTGCTGGCCTATAGTCAGAGTGTTCTGTATCTGGAGGGAATAAAGTTCAGTGACTCCCAGGCCACCATGCAGGGGCTGTTGCTCGCTGGGTGCTTCTTATTTATATCTAGGTCAAAGGTTAGAGTTCATATTTTAATCTTAGTCAATTTTGAGGTTTCTTTGCATATGTGTCAAAGGTGCCAGTAAAGCAAAACACCAAAAATTGGTGCTGATTTTCTTTTTGTTTTGTCTTCACATGAAATTGTTTCTTGTTTTTATTGATCCATTGTAATTATTGGGCAGTTATATTTTTGAAAAAGTTTAAATAAATTTTCCTTTATAATTGGTCTTAATTGACAGTCCAATAAGTTTTAAATTAAGTTTCATCTTTAAGAATTTTCCTGCCTGACTTTTCTAAAGAATTGCGCTGCATGCTTTGTTTAAAATCTATATATTTTCTAACAAGTAGGTCAGATTTATCAGCTTTTGAACCTTTTTATTACAGCCCTTGAAGACATTATCCAAAAGTCGGCCATTACCTAATATATTCAACTTGTACACTATACTGACAGTGCTGCTACAGTTTGCAGTGCATTTTACAAGTTTATATGTTCTCTATGATGAAGCTTTCAAAGTTAGCCCTCCAAGGTAAATACTCTGGGATGTCTGGTTCACAAAAAATTGAAGTTGAAAGTCCATACATGGCTACTTATGAAGTAAAATGAAAAACCCAAAAAAGAATATGATGTAGCTGATGTACGAAAATCCTGAATTGAACTCTTTGAAGAATATACCTAAGGTAGCCTTTCTCTCTTTGGGAAATATTAAAAACTTGGTACCAAGGTAAATACTCTGGGGCGTCTGGTTCACAAAAAACTGAAGTTGAAAGTCCATACATGGCTACTTGTAAAATAAAATGAAAAACCCAAGGAAGAATATGATGTAGCTAATGTACGAAAATCCTGAATTGAACTCTTTGAAGAATATACCTACGGTAGCCTTTCTCTCTTTGGGAAATATTAAAAACTAGGTTAAGTACAAAAATTGAGTCAAATTATGAACAGCAGTAAACAGCAAATATTTTATTTTTCAGAACTGAAGAATTTGTAGATCTAGAAAAGAAATTTGAGCCCACAATACTAAATAGTACAATGTACATTATCTCTATGGCCCTTCAAGTCTCAACCTTCGCCATTAATTATAAGGTAGGTGCAGGTATTGTAGTGATGCTTTGAAAAAGTTTGGGAAGAACACACATATTCAGCTGACATACACCGTTTATCTTTATTTATATCTTTCTGAATGCTAGTCCCCATATATATATACATTGTCATTATTGCATTTCTATATAAATCCAAAGTACTAGATATTGGCAAAAATATGTCACCACTTAATGATTGACTTCATTATTGACTTCATTATGAAAATAAACATTTTAACTATTGTAAAGAAAGATTGCACAGTGAAGTTCAGCTTTATTATCATTATTAGTATTATCACAGTAACTGTAGCTCACGGTAATTTTAGATCCAAGCACACATAAATATTCTGTATGTACTTTGCAGGGTCATCCCTTCATGGAAAGTCTTAGAGAAAACAAACCCCTGTTGTACAGTCTGTGTATATCTGGTGGCGTGATAGTGGCCCTGGCAGCAGGAATTGTACCAGAGTTTGCTCAGTACTTTGAAATAGTAGAATTGCCTGATGAGGTTAGTTTATGCAGAAATTTTGATTGTATGTAGGTATGGGAAGTGGGCAAGGGGGGGGGGGGATGACAGTGGGACTTTTACCAGAGTTTGCTTAATACTTTTTAGTAATAGAACTGCTAGGCCTGTTGATTTTTAGGTGACAATGTATGTATTTCATTTTCGTAGTTAATTTTTAGGTTGAAGATGTAGTAAGTATTGGGACCTTATTAAATCCACCAGGTTTTAAGTATTGGCATCCCCCACTATAAATACCTTCCCATAACAAGTACAGTTTCATTTTTGTCACCATTTGTTTAATTTAAAGATTACAAAATATTCTTGTTTTTTTAGTTTTGGTAATAATCCTTTTTTACATTTCAGCTGAGGCAGACGGTTCTAAAAGTGATAGCAGCAGACGTTTTGTGTTCCTTTGTGGTGGACAGGGTACTGCAGTTTATATTTGGAGACGCTAGGCTAAAGCAGTAATCTCGAACATATTTAGTGTCACATCATTTGGCAGCTGTCTCAAACTTGGTTGATGATACGGTTGATACTGTTGGTGGATACTATCTATTTATATAAAATACTGATCACATGTATGTGCAAAGGTTGTGGTCATTAATACAAGTGGATTTTAAGGTACTGACTTTCATTTTCAGATTTTCATCTTGTAACCACTATTGCCATTGTTGAGGTACAATACTTCATTGTATTTGTGCCCACAATGGAATGCATTTTCAGTTAACACAGATTATTTTAAACAAATATCTTTATTAAAAAGTTTGTGAAATTCTCATTGTCACAGTGGTCTTGCTGAAAAAACAATTTTGTGCTCTATTGATTAAAATATATTGCCTAGATTAGCTGCAGTATTCAAAACAATAAGAATGGTAATTTGGGATAACGACTCTTCATGTGAGATTCATATTTCACGATAAATAACTTGTAAACAACTCATAGAAATATAGTAAATTCCATTTTACCACCAAAACCAATGATTCTGGAATTTGTGCTTACCATTAGACCATGTGGACCTTCATAAATGGCTATACTTCCGTAACTTGTTAAATTTAGAAAAAAATCATGGGCCCACTTTGAATGTAGGAGTAGATTCATTAACCATTGGCAAGTGTGGGAAAATTGTCAAAAGCCTGGTTATTATCTACAGGATGTTCTTTTCCACAAGGCCTATTTAAAGTGAAATACTCCAAAGCTAGATTCGCACACGTCATTTTAATTTTCCTTGTGAGATTTTACCATGAAACCAAATCGTACAACAGATCAAATTAAAACATTGTTTACTTGCAATGAAATAAATCTATGAAGAAATTAACACAGTTTATCTGAATCTGTTATGTGGTTTGAGTAAATGTGAAAAATAAGAGGAGAAGAAGTCCAATGGATTTTTTTTTTTTTTTCAAATTTATTTTTCACTTAGAGCTGATAAAAAAGTCAATTTTATCCAAACAAAAACAATATCACTAAGCATATGAGATCCAGTAAAATTTGACAATTTTGCTGAAAATGAATGACCACTCAAAAGCTTCTTTAGGCAGGTGATGATTTCTTTTGCAAAAATATTAGACAATGTATTGAAAATAAAATGATTATGAGAGATGTAAAAAAAAGACTGAAAAGTGGACCTTTTTTTCTTCATTTTAAGCCTTTTTTCTATTTCTGCAAAAATAATTATTAAAACTGAGAATGCATATTTTGGTGAAAAGTGGATTTTTTAAAAATGCATTTTTTAATTAAGAACTATAAAGCCACACGCAATAAATCCAAGCTTGCTGCACATTCACAGTTAAAAATTACTGTTGCTTTATAGCCAAATATCTGCCTGAACATTTTAAAAATAACTAACAAAGCTCTTAACAAGATTAGACACTTTTGCACTCAAAAACATAATCTGCTGGTTTAAAACCTCAAATCAGCTCCTCTCTCACGCAAGTTTCAACTATTTCATGAAATTAAGTAAATATTTCTTGAGCTAAAACAATAAAATTGCATGTTACAGTACCAATATGCATCTAATAGTTATCAGGATGTAAATAACTATACTACTTGTATATACCACATGATACTAAATAAATTTACAGACATGTATAATTCAACTATTTACACCCTCTTCAATAATATTTTGCCAGGCAACTTCCCTTGCTCTTATCTTACAGCAATTAACCAAATTGCTTGGTTGTATGTAAAATGTGTAAAATCCACCCACTAAAAGTCTTATCATAATGCGAGGTAATAATAAATCACTTCCATTACAGAAATTTCATTCCAAGACAAGAGAAACCATACAGAAAATAATTTATGGTGTGGCTATCTAGCATGCACTTTATGATGAAAACAAAATGGAGCATATATAATTCTTTAAGAGGTGAATAAGATTCTTTGCAGACATACAACTGTCCACAATCACTTTAAATAATCTACATTCAAAGCCACCAACTTCTAAAAATGATGCCAAAAAAAGAATAATATTTCTCATTCAAAAAATACTGTGTGCAATTAAAGTGTGTGACTACAGTGCCTATTTAGTTGTAACTTTATGTGTGACAGTATTTAATATTGGTTCTGTTTGGGATGTAAACAAAATGGCCGCTGTGCCTGTTGCTTTTTTGTTAATACCAAGTTTTCTTTTTAGCCTTGGTGAAACACTAAATTACTCTGTGGCCTTGGCATGGTCCCCGACAGTTTTCCTCTCTTTTCTTGTTCACTGACATATTTTCTGCCAAATACTCCTGGGTACTGACATGATCCTTCTCTTCATTCTCACCCCTCTACCTGCCTGACTTTGAATTAAACCACACAGTAGTCAATACCAATTCAATACCATTATCTCTTTCCTGTATTTCTTACACTGAACATTTCTTTTGTATGACAGATGTCTGGATTGATGTGCTATATTTTCAGTTTCTATCTTCCTCTTCAAAACTGAATTTTCACAGTTTAAAGGGTACTATTCAACCACCGCTGCCCTTCCCCTGTGGCTTCCCTCCTTACTGGACATTCTGTATATCATAATAGATGGTTGTCTTGAGCTCTCTTATTTCATTCTCCATGTTCCTCCTCTTGCCTAGCATTGTACTCCTCTATAGTACGGTGGATAGTTGTGCTGTTATATTTACATTTTGGAGATTGGCAAGCACAGGTGAATTGTTTCCATTTAATAATCCAGAACTTTTCACCATAGTCAAAGCTGGAAGTCGAGGTGAATTATATTAATGAAAGAATAGCATTTATGAATTTTTGATTATGATTTCAACTTTGTGGAACTCAAAATGCCATCTTTGTTATTGAATTTTATAAACTGAAATAAGACAGTATAAAATGGTGACTGGGTGCTTAAGTTTTCAAGATAGGTTTATGCACGCACTCATTCAAATTACCAAAACAATTCTTTGTGACATTTTTAAACCTTATCAGTTTATGTGTAAGTTTTAATTTTAACAGATATAATGGTTTTACAAATTCTATGTACAATCTTCAATTTTTTTAAATTCACTTAAAGGCAGCACATTTTGAGTTTTGAAAAATTTTAACTTTGTATGAAGATTAAAAATGTATATCCATATGCTATAAAAATAATTTGAATTTTTTCGGCAATAAAGATCAAACCTACCCTAATTCTTCCCCTGATTTTATGTCCCTGGACGCAAAGAAACAGATCCTCGGAAATCGTAGATCTTGGTGCTCAATAAACACCTTGACAGGAATGACGTTGGGTTCACAAAGATGATTGATAAAACGACTGACGTTGCCATAATGCCTTGCATCAATGCAGTAAGTTTCACCATCCTGGAGCAAAAAATCATGAACTAGTTTCATACAAAACCAAAAGTCTCAAAGCAATTGTCATTATAGTCACATTTTATTTCTTACTTGTTATTATTATTCAAAACATATTACAGAACTAGGTGTTATTCCCACAAACCATTGACTTAGAGATTTTTTTCACTTGTGTATTATTTCCATTATGGATACATATATTGTAACAAATATTATTATCTTTCGAATTGTTCATGGTTCCAAGTACTTCTATATACCAACGTATTTAGATAGAAATCACTTTCTTTGGAACAAAAATATTTCTGAAACAGCTACATTTAGCTCTTGACACCTATCTATTCAGCCTTATGGCGCTCTTGTGGCAAGAGCGAAATGCAGCTGTTTCAATTATATGTTGTTCCAAAGTGAGTGATTAATATCACTAAAATATTAGTAAACTATTAATGGTGATTCTCTGATAGATTCTAGATCAAAAATTAATTACTTGAAATCAAAAACAAATGGTACTTGCATAGTTTCATTTACATCTTCCACACAAGTACCTCAAGTGGGGTACAGGCAGCCCGAAATGTGAATTCTGTAATTTGGACATCGATTTACGGGGAGTTCAACCCAAGCAAGCCCTACCAACCAAACAACCCCAAAAACTTGTAAGCTGCCCAGGTGTCTTTGGAAATATAGGCCACCTTTGGAGGCTAACGGTCACCAAATGGTGGCTGGATGGCTCTCTGGGGAAAACCTTGACCTCAGCAAAAGGAAATACCATACCTTGTTATCCAGATCAAAAAGATATGAATCATCTTCTCTTCTATCAGCTTCAGAATCTGAGATCAGTTCCCCTATGTATCTGAAATGAGGGTGGAATGATTGCTTTTAATCAATACTATGAAGTAGGAATTCAAAATGTTCTGTGCCTTCAAGTGGGTTCAAAAACAAAAACTTGGAATACTGGGCTTACACAAAGCATATCTACAATGAAGCCAATTCCTGGGACAATTTTTCTTTAATAAACAATTATAAGTAAACTTAATTGTTAATTCATAAATGACTTGGCAACTTGTAGTAACAGAAACTTGCCAGGGTGATTTCAGAAATACCCAGACCTCAGAATTTCTCATTAACAATATTTTCCAATGTCAAAGTCCATGACTAAATCTCTTACTCGCATATAAATGTTCCCTGAGGTACGTCTTGTAATGTGCGCACTCCCCAACCTCTGCCATTGGTTCTGAACAACTGCAGACGGGTACTGAAATTTTGTAAAGAGAATACCAGAAATATCTTCTAAGCAAACAATTAACATCATATCGGTGCTCAACTTCCAACTGCAAAAGTGCCAAAGTCCTTGAACTTCCATATTTTATGCCCAGTCTCATCAACAAGTTCAAGGTAAAATACAAGGTCAAGGTCAAATTCATCACAAGAACAATGAAATTTTCATCAATAAAATTTCTTGTCAACAAACTTGACAACTCAAAAGCAGTGAACAAATTCATATTGACCTATCAAGAGCTCTCAATATATACTAGCAGAACACACTTTCCTGTTTAAATAAATCAGTCGTCATTATTGATTAACTTTAGATTTAGCAATTTTTTTCTCCTTACCTGATCCCATTTTGCACCACGCGATTTCTGCAAGTCATCCAACAGCTGCAGGCTTTATTACATTCAAATAGTAATGGAGGCTCAGCTTGATTGAACTCTGGTACAAGGCGACCCTCCTGGAAATAGTAGAAAGAGAGCTTTATTTTAACCTCTCCTCCAATAGCAAGTCAAACAAGTCCAAAAACCTTACAAATTACTCAAGATTGAGGATGACTGTTGATAGGACCAACACAAACAGACATTTTTTTTAATTACCTCACAGGCGGAAAGATTTATACAGCTCTTCAAAACAGAAAATAATTTAATGTTAAAAATTCTAAGTAGATAAGAGGGTTCTGTGGGCATAAATTGAGCGTTTTTATTCTTCTGTGTAGCCCTATAACATCTTTAAGAACTGTGTGGCTTTGAGTTCCACAATAATTCTATAACATCCCTACCTTGTCAAACCAACACCTGACACTATTCCTGCTACAGTTACACAGAAGTGAGGCACAGTCATCTCTGCACTTGCAATGCTGGAAAATTGAAAAAAAATATATTTTTTGAAATTAACAGAATAAGAAGGCCACTGAAATTAAAACAAAACACTGGATTTGGCCTTTGTATCTTGCAGTTAAAAATATTCTATTCATTTCATATTACATGGCTTGTCTGACTTTGTCTATTTTTATTTCATTATTTACTATGGTTCACTTATTCAGTGCCATACGTAAACTTGAAATTATTTTAAAATGCGTTTTAAACTGTATCTTGGCTCAATTATATAAGGCATGCTTTATTTCAAAACCAAACAAAAATTTTTCAGGCATATCATAATCTTAATCATGTCCTCTACCTGCAAGCTTGTTATAAGATTATTTATATTCATGGGCTCCGTCTGAACATTCTCAATAACATATACAAAGTCCCTTGGATAGTCATAGTCATCTATTGCATTGACACAGGCTATTACATTTTGTTCTCGGCCCAAGGAAATATCCCTGAAATAAAATTTAGGCAAAAATAATACATTTTTACTATATCGTGCTAATCTGTTTCGTTCATAAAAATCATAAACTTCGTCTGAAACACAGATCTTACAAAAGAATACAGCAAAGCTATTTCATTCATATAAATGTGAAACTCTGTCTGAAAGCGCAGAGCAGAAAAAAACTGATATGTTCTATAATAAAGTTTGATTATCATTACTGGTTTCATTCTGACACTCTACAATACTATCCCCAAAGAACAGAGGGCTCTACCATAGACATACAGAACATATTTGTAACTAAAAAAATACTACTGTAAATTTTTTTTTTTAATTAAAAAAATAAAACAATCATAATTTACAGATAAACTTACCTGTGAAGTAGTCTCTCAGGTCGTTGAATCCTTTTCGCCATGGCTAGACTTCTCAAATGTCTGTTCACCCTCAGAGCTAAGCACGTTGGGCTGTCTCTGTTGGGGCAGCACTGTAATAATACAATGAGAACAACACTTCTTTTAAATTAATCATTGCTTAGACACAGTCTGTGCCAAACTGTATTTAGCCTGCTGATCCTTTGGGACAAAAATTATGAAAACACTTGTTCTAAGACTTGTATTCAAAGCTGATACCACCGTTCAATGACCGATTTAATCTGTTTTGGATTTTGAAAACCAAATTAGGAGTCTGTTTTGAAATTGTCCTTTGTGTCCTTTCAGTAATCATGAGAATCTTAAGCAACCTCATCTGCATACTTACTGATAATGGGGTTTCCTCTTCTCTGTTTCTAGCTTCACTGTCAGCACCACGAGCTAAGAATAATCTAAAGTGGAAAAATAACATTGTAAGAGATATTATTGCATAGCCAAGGTTTTTCCAAAAGCACAACTTTACAAAGAGCTCTTTAGTTTTTAAAATGTATTTCATTCAATCAATTTATAGTTGATATTTCATTAAATTATAGTTAATTGCATTAAACTATAATTTATAATTGATTTCTAGTAAAATGGAAATGGGGTCTTCAGCCCATGTAAATCTTCTCAAATTTTTTAAAAAGTTGAAAACAAATGTTCAAATGTAAAGCAACTTACACAACACTCTCGTAATGGTCCTGTCTGGCGGCTATGTGTCTATAATGATTAGGAAAATATTTTCAGGAATAATTTTAAATATTGGCATAACACTTCAATGTTATAATCACATTTAAAAATTGTCCCATCCTTTCACTGACACAGTATACACATTTGCAATGGTACTTAAAGGTATCATACAGTGATTGTGCCAAGTGATTGTGTTTATCACAAAACAAGGCAGCAAAGCTGTCAAATGTACAGACAAAGAACAGAAAATAAAGATGCAAATAAGTGAAAAATTAAATTTTCACAAAAAACTGTTAAATTGCCAGAAAAATTTACCAAACAGACTGCGTTGCCTACTGAAGCTGTATTTTAGTCCCATGTTTCTATCCTGTAAGTTTGAAAACAGTAAGTGACATGATTTTCCTTAAATGGTCATCATGGAAGCAGTGCCCAAAATGGGGGTTTCTTCAAATTTTGATGCAATATTACATAATGTTTAACAGCATAATGACCATCAATTTTTAATTATAAAATATTTGTATCACAGATATTCAGAAAATGTGACTAGCAAAGGTCTTCAGGCCCATGGAACTTCAAAGTCACGCCTTGATAATGCCAAAATGTAAACAAGACAGCACTTTTCTGAAATGGGTTTATTTCTATTTTTAACACTTTTTTAACATAAAACAAAATAAACATTTTACTGCCATTTTTATATGTCCAACTAAGAAAATTGATGAGATGGGAAAAGTATCAATAGAACAGTGTTAAATGTCCAAATTCCTCCATTCTGAGATTCTGAACATAG